CACACCAGTGTCGAGCCAAGCCGAATGATGTTCCCGAACTCGTGTAGATAGGCGCTTGCTCGTGCGGCCGATATACGTTGCTCCACAGGAGCACGTAAGCGGGTACACACAAAATGAGACAGCAGAAGCAGGAATCCTGTCTTTGAGTTGCAAACACAAGATCGGTCTGGACGTGAATACGATACGCAATTTCGCCGCGTGAAAAGTATTCTCCAACGCAGTTCCTAGTTTGCGGCTAACGAATTCTGCGATTGTATCCCCTTTGAATGGGAGAGAAATGCATACTGCCTTCTTCTCTGCACTTGAAAGTCCCTCCCTCGGACGGTTATTTCGCGAAACGTTATCCACAAAACGTTCTGGATAGCCATTTTGTAGGAAAACATCACGAATGAATGATAGTTCTGCATTTATGGTGTCATCGGTGCATATTTTTACCGCCCTGTTTACCAAACACTGAATAAGATTTCGTTTGAGTGACATAAAGCTTCTGAAATGAATATACTGGCCGCTCCAAGTGGGTTTCCTATAAATCGATCTCTGAATAGAACCATCTGTGCGACGCTTTAGCCAGATATCGAGAAAACCAATCCCGTCATTAACCTCTTCTCCCAATGTGAACTTGATGTTGGGATGAGCGGAATTAAACATCCTGAGCAAATTGGAGACCTTGACATCACTGTCCACAAAACATAATATGTCATCGACATATCGTCTGTACAGCCCACATCACTTAATCGTAGACTTCAAAGCAATATTTTCTAGCTTGGACATGAATAAATCCGCACCTAGGGGACCGAGCGGGGATCCCATTGCGACTCCATCCTTTTGGCGATAGATTTCTTCATTCAACTTGAACTGAACGTTCTGTGTGCGGAAGTATAATAGCTGTTTTAAGTCATCCAGGGGTATTGCAATTTCGATATTCCTTTCCTGGATTTGGTCACATAAATACCCAATGGTCTCTGCGATAGGGACACTAATGAAAAGTGAGCTAGCGTCCATGGATATCATTTTTTGGCCATCTACATTTACGTTTCTGATTACATCTATGAAAGCGAAAGAGTCTGGTAAAGTGTGGGTTGCAAGGGTGACTCTCACGGGATCCAACATTGTCACAAGCCATTTGGCTATCACATGATATGGGGAATTACACATGTGTGAAATTGGCCTGAGGGTTATTTCATCTTTGTGTACTTTGGGTGAACCATACAACCTTGCGATTGTTGTTCCAATCGGTCGGATTAGTTCGAACGTGTTTGCATCTATGACACTCTTTTGCTTTATAATTCTTCTCTATTTGTTCCGTTTTATCCTTTTCTCCGGACATCTTGAACTTTGTGCTGTCACTGAGTGTGTTATTCATCTTGGAAACGTAGTCTGATCTGTTCAGTATGACAACTCTTGTACCCTTGTCTGGTCTGCACAGAATTACATCATGATTATTCCCTAATCCTTTTAACCGTTCTCGGTGATTTGGTGTCACTAAATCTTTGATCATCGGTTTGCTATCGAGAAGATAAAGCATGTGTTCACTAAAATGGATTTCAGCTGAGCCACATTTGCGATGAAAGCGATAAATCTGACAGTTGTAAGAAAAGGTTTTTGAACTCTACTTCTAGATCCAGTTTAGTCCGATTCTTCCAATTGAACAACAAAACTGAGGTCCTAGAAACAGAACTTCGAGCAAAATTTTGTCTAACTTAATAGAGGAAAAATTGTGCACATATCTTTCAGGATTGGTTGGGAACTCACTGAGGGGTTCCGCAGGATCTAATCACTTTCATAGAATATTCCTCTTTCGTTCGCTTTGTTTCCTCACCACTGATTCCACGAATGACTCGCAACGATTACCTTCCTCGTACGTCAGTGAATCCAGAAGATAAGTGTATTTGGCAAAGTTTACACGTAGTTCCTCGATATGTCCTTTTCATTCAGAGCTTGGCGTATCAGGATTTGGTGTGTGACAGATTCGATTCCTTCTCAGAGTCACAAAATACAGTTTGGGGAACTGGGATTTTTCCATACATTTCGTGATGAACTCAACCCAAGTTTCCGCTACTGTCAATTTCGTACATACTTGTTAAGTTCACGCATTACGATAGGGTCCTTGGCTTGTTTTAACTCCCGGAATATAGCAGCGAAACACATTGAATAAAAAACGCAGTTTAGCGAAAAAGCTTTTTTTCGGTTTTGTTAGCGTGATCAAACCTAACGATAAACTTCATAATCGTTTTGCAAAATTCCGTGAATGTTGGACCCATTGTTCTTCTTTCTATTGCATTTACAAAAAACTAAGGTTAGTTTTCTTTGCCTCCGTTGAAATAAAAGTACCAAACATACCTTTATAACTGCTTTCTTTCGCAGGTTCGACTAGCTAGGCACGTTGACACTTTGTGGCGTCAGTGGATCGTGTTGCGTTCATTTATGCCACCAAATCAGATGTCGATTTTCACCGATCTCTCGCCGGAGTTTTTGTCTCAGCTTCAACTGGCTTCGGTCAACGACCCCTTAGGTTTCCTTTCTCCTGTGAGTCTGCCAACAACCGGCGAAGTCACTGCAGCTATGAAGAATTTAGCTTCTGCTGGATGTGATCCACTGAAATCAGGAACAGTGGTTCCAGGCGAACGTGGTTCCGCAGTTCTCGCTAGTCTTACCGTATATACTCGACCTGATCTGTTAATTCAGTTGTTTCGCCTCATCGATGCACTGAAAGAGTCCAAGGTTAGTTTGATGTGAATTTTCTATATGTTCATGTTGTTGAGAGATCCTCATTTTGAACTAGCACAATAAAGAAAGATGTGACATGTTCTGATGATATGTGCCTTATCCTGTATTATAAAATTTCAACTGACCAATAAATGTCTTAAGCGGTTCGTTACTCAAGGTTCTTGCTGATTCCCATGACCGAATGGTCGGCGCTCATCCCTAAAAAGTCCATTCCTACTGTTGTGTAGGTACTACTCGCATTTGTGAGTAGTATGTTTGGGTTTTGCAAAATAATGTGTATGGCAGTTTCTCAGAACGGTCAAAAATGAACAGAACTTCCTGAAGAAAATTACTAGGCTCAGTTTTTTAATTACAGAAAATGCACATTTACCATCAAACGTTTGCTTTCATAATTCTGCGTCCTCGTGGAAATTATCATGACCTGTTTCAAATGAGACGTTTTGTTTTATGTACACCAATGTATTAATACCCTTACCGTTGTTCGTAATAAACAAATTCTCTCGTCCTGGTACTGTCTTTAGATGTATAACACTACTATTCACCACACTGGGATGTGTAATTGTCAATGAGATATCGTTTCGGTTTTTCGTACATCATTCGCCAGTGGACTGAGTTGCACGTTAGGCGTTCACTTTGCATCATTAAAAGCCTATCGAAAAATTCTCGACCCTTCTCATGATGTGACAAAATAATCATACATAAGCTAACCGTTTCTTCTATTTTTTCGTTTTCTTAAGTGCGACTGTTACCTAAGGTTTGGGAGTTTAGGGTTTGTACAAAAGGTTAAGTTCGACCAGTTGGGATGAACTTCGTAAAAGTATTTGAACTGTCTGTGCCATATACAGTTCCGTTGATCGCAACAGTAGAAACTCAGACAGGCACCCACTTTCAGTTCTCATAACCATTAAACAAGCACTTTCGTGTGGCGGTTTTGATTGTTGTCTCTTACCTTCCCGTTTGGATGAAAAAGTAGTGGGAAGATTGGAATATTCATATCAGGGTGAAAAAGAAAAATTCATATAGACTAAGATTACAAAGATATTGGTTAGGTGCCCTAGCTACACTATTTTTGTCACTCAGCCATATACGGTCTTCACCGACGCTTGAACGCTGGGAAGAGCACTTCACATCGCAGTTCAACCAGCCACCCGATCAGCTTCCCTAAAGTAGTTCTCTTGAGAATTCACCCTGGCTGCTATCCACGGTACTGCCCACAGAAGCGGAGATCCGAAAGGAACTTCGAACCCTCAAACGCCATAGGGCAGACGACCTACGACCTGCCGTCTTTAAAGATGTTGGAGAAGCTCTCTTGAACGAAATTGTGTGACTGTTTTCGAAGGTATAGGAAACCGAAGGTGCACCCGAAAATGGGGTGATCGATTGTTGTGTTTTTGAACATCAGAGCGGCCCTCGACTCCGTTGATCACCCTACACTGCGGAAGGTTAGGGCCTATGGTAAACTTTCACCTTCATTTCTTGCTTTCGAAAACCTCAGTATGGTCTGGGTGGATGTCTGGGATTGTGACTGCTCACCATTTCTTTACACCTCGCGAAATTCCCCTATATGACCAAGCTTCTCAAATAGCCTCTGCTGAGGAATCCCTACTCACTACTTTCTCGTGGCGAAGGTATTTTCACACCAAAGTGAGAGGACAAAAAGCCGACATCCGGGGCTATAACCGAGTTCGTGAACTACTGGTAGTTCACCTAGTGGAGTTGGCTAAAAACCCTGATTCCAAACCAACCAAGAAGAGGCGTAAGGATCACAAGCACGCCTTTCTGGTTGTGGCAGTGGTCACCGGCTCGATTAGTCGCTTAGGCGTATTGGTCACCTTGGACGTTTGA